TGTGGTTCACATAATCCTGTTAAAGTTAAAAGGGAATTGTAAACGTCATAATGTCTAAGAAGAGCTTTAATGACTGACAGTTGACTTTGGAGAGCAAAAATTCTACTCAAATAAATGAATAAATAAAAACAATGAAAAGTAAATGATATTTAGGAAAACTTAAAGTAGAAACAATAAGTACTACTTAGCCTGTCTGCACTGACTTTATTACTGGTTAGTTTGTAGTTGAAAGGCTGAAGGGGTTTGCCTCGTCAGATATTCAGCAGCAGAGGAGCACCGCAGGGGTCTGTGCGCTCACCGTTTATTTTCACTCTGTACACATTTAACTTCCAGTACAAAAAAAATTTGTTAAAACTCCTGTCATCTCCAGGAATAGTCTGGTTCTCTTCTAGAGACGACTGTGGAGCCTCAGGAGACGATGGTTCAAAGAAAGAATCTTCATAAAATCAAGAAATCTACAGATAACCATGAACATACAAGAACAGAGCATCTTCAGGAAGAGTAACATATAACATTAAAACGCTGCAGGAGATCCTTCCTAAACACAGCATCTACAGCTCTTTGAAAAAAACTGGCATAATATAACTTACAACAACGTTTAGTTTCACCAGGGGCGATCCTAGCATGTTTGGTGCCCCGGGCAAATCACCCAGGGTGAATGCCAATTACCCCATCACACCCCTACCGTGACACATCTTTTAAATCTGACACACTCACTTTTTAGAATGATACTATAAACACGCATAGAACGTACTGCATACCATGAAGTTAAAAATAAACAACACAAAAACAAAAGATGGATACAATTCAATCTAAATACAATGAATATAAGGTATTTCTAAATAGAATCAATAGTATTGATGAAATTATGTGTACGACCAGAAATTATAACTGGGAGCTATTGCTGCCCTGTATGAGTGGCCACCCTGGGCAGGTGCCCACATCACCGATATCACTGCTGCTAAGTTTCCCCTTGAGGATTAATAAAGTGTTTTTGAACTGATTGGAATATTTGACTGCTAGTGGAGCGAGAAAAGGAAGCAAAGTTGCGTTTCCTCACATTGTAAAAGCATCGGAAGTTCCTCTGAAGCTCTGGACGCTGTGGACTCGCAGAAGCGTCCCTGCCGCTACAATTTGAGGACCCATCGCTGACAAAATGTTCATGTGTCTTGAATCACCGGTACATGTGCAGTCAGCTGCATAGCTCCTTGTCACAGCTCTCGGGCTGAGCAAACAACCCTGACCTCCACATAGCACCCAAAATGACAAAGTGACTGCACATTACTTTGTGAACAGAGAGCTGGAGCTCGCTTCATCAATATGTAGATCTGAATACCATCAGGATGTTTAATCCTTAAAATATGCAAACAGCTGGGCGGTGATGTGACCTGAGCAGTTGACCGTGCGATAAAACTGCTGCGATCTCAACACATGTGTGATCGGTATCATTAGAACCAAGCAGGAACCCTTCCTCGCATGTTTACAATCCAATCAAAAGGTCAATTTTTCAGGCTTTTCTTGACTTTCAGGTCCTGCATTGGAAGCTTTTCTAAACAAAGGTCTGGTGACTTTTTCCGGGCGTGTCAGAAATGACCTGACTAGTGAAACTAAGTTTTGCTGTGAGCAAACTGGCATGCTTGATGATTTTACAGTTGAAACTATAGTAGATTTTTAATTTTGTTTTTCCTTCATTTTTTTGCTGCTTGACATTCCAACTTGCATACGCGGAACAGGATTCAGAACCTGCTGGACGACAACAAAAATGTCATCGTCAACCGAGGCCAAAAGGATTAAACCTGGCTTGTTTTCAATTCTGAATAAGATAGACAGCTGTGATTTCCTTGTGTAGCGACAAGGTTTTGGCAAATTTTTGGCTGGGAGGAATGAAAATAGTTTATTTTGTACTTTACAAGTGAAAATGTACAGCCAGTGTGCAATTGATCTATACTCACGAGTTTCAAATGTTTTAGTGAGCAAGCAGCACTGCTCAAACATTTGCGTAACAACAGGGCACGCTTTTCCACTTTGTCCTATTTAGAAGCTTCAAGTCGCAAAAACAAACAAAAGAAAATAAAAAGCAACATTGTGACGTTTGCCCGGCAGAATTTTCTGTGACACGGTTGCAAGGAGGGAAAGCCACAAAAGGTCATTACTTGAGAAGGTGTTTCTTCACAGAGGGCTTTATTTAGGCTTATTCATGGAAAAGTTGAGTGAGAGGAAAAAGACGTGGGAGACAAAGTGGACAAGCAACATGGAAAACCATTGCCTTCCTAAAAGGCGCTTTTTGTTTTGAACAGGGACGGTCTGAGGTATCTGCGGACTCTGCAACTTCTTGAAGCGCCCAGCGGACCTGAAAGGAAATGTTGATAAATACAGAAGTTATTACACAAGTGCAGGTGTATCTCAAAACATTTGAATATGATTGAAAAGTTTACTTATTTTAAGCACTTTATTTTAAAAAAAATATTTATTTATTCAATTATTTATTTATTGTTGTGGCTTCCAAGTACTAAAAAAAAGTCAAATTTCAGTTTTCAAGGAAAATATGAACTCTTATATAAAAAAAGACATATATATATATATAATATGCAAACAGCTATATATATATATATATATATGCAAACATAAATATTCAAACATATAGCTGTTTGCATATTTTAAGGATTATATATATATATGTATATATATATATATATGTACAGCCCGTGTGCAATTGATCTATACTCACGAGTTTCAAATGTGCATCTTTTTTTTTTTGCCACACTTTTTTCTTCCACTCAACTTATTGTCATTATGCTCAGACACAACGCCACTTTTATGTCACAAATCATAATTCTGGTATTCAATTTCACCAGAAATTGGTATTCAGTTTATTCTAAATGAATCAAAAATAGCTATATCCGGATTTTTTGTATTTTTATTAGCTGCGTACAAGAGTCTTTATTTAAAATAACAGCTTGTAATGTAATCGCTTTGTGGGTAATTAATACATAAGTTTAATTTTTTGAATCTAATTACTGAAACAATTTTTTTACTCGCTTGTTTGTTTGCTTTTTTCACTGGGATTTCAATTAATTAGGAAATCGTCCGAGTTCTCCCGCGAGCTCAAAAGCAAGCGGCCGGATCCACGGCAGCGCGTGACGTCTGCTGACGCGCGCGGCGCTTCTCGCCCGTTTATTTATTTACCGCGCGGAGAGCGTGACACGGCGGACCCGTGTGAAAACATGTAACGCGGAGAAGCTTCCCTTCTCTTGTTCGCCCCCTCCCCCCTCCTCCTCACCGGGGGGACGGAATGGACTCAATGATGCACTTCAGCGCGCGCCGCTAAGAGAGCACGCTTTCACCTTTAGGACCGTCTCTGCTCCTTGAAGTCACCCCGGAATCCTCTCCGTGGATGACGCAGGTAAAACCGACCTGACTTTTTCCTCGTCTTTGATCCACGCGCCGAGTTCAGTGAAGTGTCCCCCTCCCCTCTCCACCTCCCCTCAAAAGACTGTGTGCTCGCGCGCGCGCGCGCGTGTGCGTGTGGCGACAGTTTTATTTGATCTCGATGTATAAATAGGTTGCAGCTAGAGGTAGCCTATTGTGGCATATTTTAAAAAAAAGGGCTATAAGCGTGACGTAAAAAGACGATCGTATCGGTAGTAGGGTATGTATGAGTGAGATTTTTTTAATGCACACTTTCATTGAGTTTCTTTTAACTTCAGTATTAATGCTTCATAAATAAATTTAAAAATCAGGCTTTTTTAAAAAAAAGTCGGGATAAAGTTGGAATTGAAGCTTTTTTGACAACCTTGTGGTAAGTAAAGCAAACTTTCCACCAGCTCATCTCAGTGATTTTTTTCTTTCTTTCTTTCTTCCTTTTCTTTTTGCAAAACATCCGTTAATCCCCTCAAACACGCAGATGGCAGATATACCTACAGAGCTATAAATGGTAGACAAAAACAAGATGATAGGAATCACCCAAGAGGAGGGGAGAACTGCTCTTCTTCTCTTTTTTAAAGCGATTATTTTATTCACTCAGCAGCATATAGGGGGAGAGGTGGACGTGAGGGAGGGGTAAAAGAAGGGTGGGGGGGGGGGCATATATCCATATTAGGAAGTCGTGTCCTACATAATAGACGTGGCACAACTGCCACTGAACGGGGCACAGGTGCCTGTAGTCGCTTTTCTTTGACTTGCCCATATGAGGATCTGAAACCGCTGGAAGTGTCGCATTTCTTCTTCTTCTTTCAATCTCTGCGCTTGCACGCGGGTGAGTGCGCACGCGCGTGTTCGTGCGCGTGCACGTCGAGATGCGGTGGTGGTGGTGGTGTGTGTGTTGAAGGTGGTGGAGGGAGGGGGAGAGTCGGGGGCCGGGGGGTTGCGGAAACATGTGGAGCTGAGGGATGATCGTGTGCGCGTGCGCGTGAGCTTGACGGTCTAACTTTTTCCCCTTTATTGATAAATGATGATAGCGTCCACGCGCAGGTTGTGGTGTGGCGATGTGTGCGCGTGCGAGGGTTTGCTAAGCGTTTCAGTGCACACACACGCGCGCGCCTACAGGTGCGTGCATGTTTCTTTTTTGTATGCACACACATCACAGATGTTGTCCCCTTGCCTATTTACCCCAAATTCCATTTCACGCGGTGTGGCGTGGATTTGCTTTAAGCACGCAGGGAACGTGGGATGGAGACCGAGCTGCATGGGAGACAAATGTCCAGCGTAAAAACAAAAAAAAAATCAACAAAAAGAAACCCCTATTCTTCTTCTCTGGACACTTTATAATTACGCAGACGCGCACGCACGCTCGCACGCGCCAGCTGATCCTCCTCGCGAGGAGGAGGAAGCGCAGGAGACACGAGTGAAACAACAAAGAGAGACAGAGGAAGACAGGAACTCGCGTCGCTCCGAGCTGGGGGGACTGCGTGGGGTGTGGTGACAAGGTCCAGGAGGACAAACTTTGTCTCCTTCTCTCTCGTTTCTGTCTTTTTTTTTTTTTTTTTTTTTTTTTTGCTTTTCTTGCCTCTCTCGCCCTCGGTCTTGTTCTCAGCGTTTCACACATACACACACTGGCCATATTTCCATTCGCGGTGGGTTCAGGTACTCCCGGAAACATCAGCATTCCATTGCTTTATCAGAGACAGAGCAATTTCAAGTTTTAGTTCCTGTCCATCCTTAGTTGGAGGTGAATATACAGCCGCTAAATATGTTTGAGAAGTGAACAGATAAACTTTTTTGTTGTGTCTGCCTGAACTAGAACAACATGAATAGCGTGGTTTTATTTTTCAAACTTTTTATTGTGTGACAATTAGTTATTCTAGTTTAAATAAAGACTGAAAAATATAATTATTAATTTGCATTATAGCCAACGGGTGTTTAACAAACCCATCGTAGGCTTTTATTTTGTTTTGGTCGTCGGTTGGTTTCTGAGCTGCGGCATTTCCGATTGCCCCTGAAGGCAGCACGAGGGAAACGATAGGAGACGAGAAACACGCAGAGAGAGAGAGAGAGAGAGAGAAACAGAAAGAGGAGAGTGACAGAGAAGAACCTGTGCTCTTCTACAGCACCGGGAGACAAGAATTCACCAGAGATCACAATTTCTTTCTGTATTTTTTTTTTTTTTTTTTGACAAACTTAGTTCGGGTTTTCTCTCCTCTTTTTGTTGCTGTCAGTGTGCGAATAGAGTGGACTCCCTGTCTCTGTGTTCGTGTATCTCTACTGGATCTTCACTTCTGAGGCTGTGTACAGTTTTGGTTTTGGAGAACTGCACCGGTTTTGTTTTTTCCTGCGAGGTTTTCTGAGCCGAGTGCTGCTTTAACTGGTAAGGAAGTGGCTGTGTGTGTGTGTGTGTGTGTGTGTAGGTGTGTGTGTGAGGGTGTGTGTGTGTGTGTGTTTCTGTGTTTGTGTGTTTATTATTTCTGGCTGTTTTCAAGGTGGCGTCGTGCAACGTTTTGTGCAGTATGGATTCTTTTCACGAAGTTAAACATTTTCATAAAATTAAGCAAACACGAATAGTAAGAAAAAAACAAAAATGACAAAAAAAAATGTTAGGTGCTTTAACACAGTCGGTAGTTTTTCCACTGATAAGGTTCTTTTCTCCTTGTTTTAGTCAGGGGGAAAAAAAGGTCAGTAATTGTAAATAGTTTCACTTAGAGGGATGTCAAAGTATGGGATCGTAATGTTATAAAGCAACAGAACACAGCTGTACACATCTGGAGTCCTGAACTGATAATCATTGGAATGTGGACATGGGCTGAAATGAGGTTGTCATGATAAAAATAACACAGTATCATGATGCTAAATGAGGAGTTGGGGTTGGGGGGGAAATAATCAATGAAACACAAATTAACTCTTTAATTAAAAAAAAACAAAAAAACTTTTTGATGAACTAATTGGAACGGTGCTGGGAATTCCAGTGCTAAATTGGCCCGGCCACTTTAAGAGTGATAGGTGGTGCAATTTCAGAAAAAAAGAAAAGAAAAAAAGACGTGGAAGCCTCAGCCAGCTGACCGGCAGTGCCCAGCAACAGGTGGGGGAGGGGCAGTGTAGGCTTAATCCATACTTTAAACTCGAGTCATAATGACACGCTCTGCTTTCTTTTTTTTGCGGGTTTTATTCTTTTCCCTTCTTTTTAAACCTCAGTATGTCCACGAGTCAGTCCGTGTCAGACTTAGCCCAACTTGGGGAAGCTGTGTAAAAAGCCTTGAAATAAATTATTAATTCATCATTGCAGTGAGCAGGGGAGGGGAGGCGACAGGGTCCGTACAACCAGAGAAATCTGGTCGCTCCGCCACTTTCTCTGGCGACTCATTAAACGGAAAGCCGTGGCTGAATAATCTTAGTAGGTTTTAAAAAAAAAGAACTTTGTAAAAACCTTGTCATACCAATAATAAATAGGCCATGAAGAAACAAAAAGGGTGGATTTACGACAAAAGTCACAAGAAACCAAGTAGAGCAAACAAAATGTACTTGTTGAAACATTGTGGGCATCGCATTTGTAGTGTCCCTCTACTAGGAACTGGCTGCAGCGTATTTACCACAGGAGACAGCCAGAAAGAACACACACAGTTTGCGTGCGCGCACGCGTGCGTGTGTGTGTGTCCGCAACTTCTTTTTTGCCCTTTCACGAAAATAAAAACAAGGAAACGCCTTATCAGTCGGTAGTGGACTTTTAACTTCCAACAGTAGCCTATAGTAGCTGACTTACCACACACTCACACACACAGCTGTGGAGCAGTGTGATAATAGGGCTGTGTGTTTGCCGTTTGTATCCCAGTTATTATCTGTCTCAAACTGACGGCGTGTGTGAGATCATCAGCTGCAACTTTTCAGTACTTGATGGTGTTTTTGTTTTTTTTTTTCTTCCTCCTTTTGAGATTTACTTTCTAAACAATACCATCATGGATGCACCCAACCCAGCATATCCCCCCCCATACCTCCCCTTAGCTGTGATGTCACACTAAGTCGTAGTTCGAAAGAGAAAGAAACAGATAGCAGAGGGAGGGAGGGAGAAGAGGCGGCACGTTGTTTTGCAGACAGGATTACATTGTCTCCCCCCTTGTCAGTTTGCAGACATTATGCTAAATGTTTCTTCTTCAGCCTGACAAAGTGCTCACTCTGTGGTTTTGGTACAGCATCTTCTAAGTGTAACATTACAAGCTTTTTCAAAAATAATCGTCGAGCTGGAAAGAAGGGCTGATTGGACATAAAGAGGAAGTTGTCTAGTTGCAAATGTTTTGGGTGAAATTGAAAAAACTTTGACGATTTTTTTTTTCCCGAAAAAGGTGAACATGGACAATTTGTTACACTCAGACATGTTTCCCTTTTATGCTGATGATTTCGAGGCTGCCTTCATGCAAATAGGACATGCGGTAGAACGCACTTCTATGTAAAAATGTCGATATCTGATTATAATAATGTAATCCTCGTGGATTGCGGAAGTCCTTTGTAAAACCTGTTGATTTGCTTCAAAGTTGTGATACCTGTTTATGTTACAGCCACCACCTACTGTTACTCCATTAACAATGCAAAATGTTAGTGTATTGTAAAGGGCCGCAAAAGAGGAACCTGACCTATGTGTAACAGTGTCTTGTTTGTCAGGTTTCCTAATCCAGATGTGATTCATGTTTCTGCTTTTGCACAGCATAAGATCAATAAGGTGTAAATTGAAAAAAAGAAAGAAAGAGAAAAACGTACATGCTTCAAGTGCATTGCACTTTCTTTTCAGTCTATCTGGTCGCCTCCTGTCATTGTCTGTCTTTTCATACGCTGGAGAACCGCTGCATACATTTGGGCTTTTGTCAATAACGGTGTTTGTCTTCTGTGTGGAGCTTGTGTGCTTGTTTCTTCATCCATGTGCTTATCGTGATCAAACTTTCTACTCTAACACGACTCTTTATCTCCTCCAAAGATTTGCTTCACTTGTTTGCCTCTTTTTTTCTTCTTCTTCTTCTTCGTTTTTTGCGTTCTCGTGTATGTGGGTGTAAAATTAGCAATTCCATTTTCTTTTTTCTTTTCTTTTCTCTTGTCTTTCCAGAATGTGGAAGTGTTTTCTTGGTGTGGCGAGAAACAATGAGGACAAGGCAGGGCTTTGTGGTGGCAGAAATGCATTTTTAACCCATGTGAATGAATGGTGCCTCACATTCCACAGCACCAGGCCCTCGACTGAATGGCAGCACTAACACGGCTGTTTTCATTACTCATTACTGCCCTGTGCCTTTTCACCATGGACTTAGTCATTTACCTTTACCTACTCATACTGGGATTTAGTGGTGTGCTGGTTTTTTCTACGCCTTTGACTTGCGCTTTTATTATGCGTGAGCTGTTATTTCAGCAGCATTTTGTGTTACTCATAAGTCCTCATTCGAGTTATCATCAACAAAAGGCTCAAATTACAGCGCGCAATGTAAAAAGCTTGTTATTACTTGTGATCGCCTATTATGTCCTACCCTAACTCTTAGATTTCTGCTGTGCTGTGTTTCTGTTTCGGAGGGAGGAAGCTTAAAGTGGCACGTTTTTATTGCCTAAAAGTCAGTGCAACTCCTCGCTCAGCAATGATGTTCATCCATCAGTTTGTGCTCAATCTCCATGGTAACCAGCTGTAATGCCTGATTGGTAGCGAGAGTGTTTTCTACTGTCAGGAATAGGGGTGGGAGATGTAAATGTGAAGTTTCATCGTAATATTTTGTGGTACAATTGTGATTACAATAAAAATGACAAGAAATATTTATTGGTTCTTTTTGATATTTGTATGACTGCGACTGCCTGGCTCAGCAACACACCCATATGAAACATGCTACTGTAGGACACCAGTCACATACAGAATATGTTATGTATCACTAAACTGCACACGCAATCTGCTTTTACTGATTCTCTCATTGGACAAGCAGTACGCCTAACAGTCCCAAAAATGACAATTGTGGATGATTTAATCAGATTTTATTATGACGATAGTATTCTTATGATAAGAAATGTATCATAATAAATGATAATACGATAAATGCCCAACCCTAGTCAGAAATGTGGGTTTGTCGCAACTGGTATTCCATCTCCAACATGCTAATGGACGTACCTTGAGGCTAACTCTTAAACCTCTGTAGCCTCTGGCCATATCGCCCCTATTTTACAACAAGCTATCCGCTATGCTCCACCCAGAACTGAAGCCATTAAAAATAAAAATCTAAAAATAAACCCTTTATTGTACCACATGAATCCAAAGCCAAAGGTTTCTCTATTCTGGGTGTTGTGACCAGGAGCAGAGCTTCAGTTTATTATGCTTCAGTCTCATGTACTCTTTGGAAAGATGAAAAAAGCCACAAACCTTGCATGGGGTGGATCAGAACACAGCTGAGTAAGGGTTTAGTTTGATGTGTCTATCCCTGTTTTATTTTCTTTTATTGTTGATTAATATCAGTGGCTTTAGTGGGAATCCTTGGAGACCTGTTCATTTTCTTTGGAATATGAACGACTGTCTCTAAATCAAGTTCCTCCCTGGCCACTTTCCAATACTTTCAATTTGTGCCCTTAAACAAATCATTTTCTACTTACGTACAGTACATAATCATTGCGTAATAATGAATTTCTTTTGTTATTTAACAGTTTAATTGAATTCTGCAAACCACATGCTCATTAAATGATGAGAATACATCTTGTGGTACAATAAGAAAATTATGGTTCTGCTTCTTCTCTGGGCCAGGAGGCATATAAGAGATTTTGACCCCTGATCAAACCAAAATAACGCTGAACAACTTTCTGTTGGTATACAAAATGCATCACACTTTCATTTCATTAGGATATTCGAGAGTAAACTCAAAGTAAACTTTGAGACTATTTGGCAAATTACTTATAATTACCATCTGTCGAAGCAGGTGGATTGAGTCATAGTACGAAGGGGATCCTCACTGTACCCAAATCATGTTGGGTATCAAACAAACAAAACTTAAAAAGCACAAAATGAGCAAGAGGAATTGCCTAAGAGATTCCAGAGCTGGCTAGTTTCATTGTAAACATTTGATCGCAAGAACGTTCGACTTGATGGATGTGAGAAAAAGTGTAGAAAGACATCAAGTCATGTTATTCCCCACCAGGTACAGTCGATGTTACTCTAGCATTCTCCCTCTTGTCTCTGCCTTGTTATTCTTGAAGTTGTATCAGTCCTTTCTGCCTGAATGCAAAAAGTGTATCTGTGTTCAAAGGCTTAAATAACTTTGTGTGGCATATTGAGGTTGGATTAGGAACAGAAGCAGGAAATGGCAAGTGCGAGAACCTATTTTAGCAGCTGTTTCCTTTTTGTTCCGATGAAACAAACCATGAAAATAAACT